GCTCCTTGGAAGCAAGAATGGCCAGACTGCGTCTCACCTATTTTGGTCATGTTGTAAGAAGGGACCATTTCCTGGAGAAGGATGTCATGCTTGGTAGGGTGGAGGGTCAACGAAAGAGCAGGAGGCCTTCAACAAGATGGATTGACACAGTGGGTGCAATGATGGGCTCAAGTATAGCAGGAATTGTAGGGCTGGCGCGGGATCAGGCAGTGTTTCATTCTGCTGTGCATGGGGTCGCTATGAGTCAGAAACGACTCGATGGCACTTAACATCAACAACAAGTGTTTCTTCAGGAGCTCTGGTAGCATAGTGCCTAAGGCACTTGATTGCTAATCAGAAGGCTGGTGGATCAAACCCACCAGCCACTCCTCGGAAGGAAGGGTTGGACAATCTACTTCCATAGTGATACCACTTCGGAAACCCAAGGAGGGGTTGCTATGAGTCAGGTCTGACTCGACAGCACATAACAACAACAGTGTTTCTTCATTTCCAGCTTTAGCATTCCAGTCACCAGTAATAATCAGTACATCTTGATTGCATGTTCTGTCTATTTCAGATAGTAAAAGTTCATAAAATTCTTCAAAGTTCTTGTCTTTGGCTTTGGTTGTTGGTGCGTAAACTTGAATAATAGTTGTATTAACTGGTCTTCCTTGTAGGCATAAGGGTATTATCCTATTGCTGACAGCATTGTACTTCAGGAAAGCAGTATTCTTCATGACAATGATCGCAACACCATTCCTCTGTGGATTGTCATTCCTGGCATAGATATCATATGATTGTCTGATTCAAAATGGCTAAAACCAGTCTGTTTCAGGTCACTAATGCATAGAATATCGATCTTTATGCATTGTATTTCATTTTTGACAACTTGCAAGTTTCCTAGATTCATACTTCATACATTCCATGTACCAATTATTAATGGATGTTTGCAGCCGTTTCTTCCCATTTTGAGTTGTACCCCATCAGCAGATGGAGGTCCTGAAAGCTTTACCCCATCCACATCATAAGGTTGACTCAACTATGAAGAGGCCATCTTCCGTGGTTGTATTTTGAGTGCCTTTGAACCTGAAGGGCTCACCTTCTGGCACATATCAGATAATGCAATGGGTGCTGTGGGTGCAGAGGGTGTTGTAGGTGCAGTAGGTGCAAAGGGTGCTGTGGATTCAGTGGGTGCTATGGGTGCAGAGGCTTCAGAGGGCATTATGGATGCAGAAGGTGTAATGGATACAGAGGGTGCTGTGGGTGCAGGGGGTGCTGTGAGTATGAAGGATGCTGTAGGTGCAGAGGGTACTATAGGTGCGGAGGGTGTTGTGGGTGCAGAGGGTGTTGTGGGTGCGGAGGGTGTTGTGGGTGCAGAGGGTGCGGAGGGTGTTGTGGGTGCAGAGGGTGTTGTGGGTGCAGAGAGTCCTGTGGGTGCAGAGGGTATTGTGGGTGCGGAGGGTGTTGTGGGTGCGGAGGGTGTTGTGGGTGTGGGGGATGCCATAGTGCAGAGGTTGCAGTGGGTGCAGAGTGAAGAGGGTGCTTTGGGCACAGAGGGTGCTCTGGATGCAGTGGATGCTGTCGGTGCAGAGAGCATTGTGGGTGCTGTGGGTACAGAAGGTGCAGAGAGCAGAGTCAGGAACTGAAGGTTGTCAGAGTGTGGAGCATGAGGTACCAGAAAAAATGTTTTACACACTGTGGGCCTCGTGGACTCATAAACCCGTTGATGCCAGGCAGTCGTATGCGTGTTTTCTCTGGGGTCTAGTCACTGTTCTCATGACGGGGATCTGCCCCCTACTGGCTGGATTGTGTTAGCAGTTTCCCTTCACCTCAGTTGTTCGGCTTGTACCCTTTCAGATACCCAAACACAGCCTGTGAGCTTCTGACCTCTGATGTGCCGCAGATCAACGACAAGCTGGGAGGGGATGAGACCCTGCTGAACCTCCTGTATGGCTTTCTGGACCACGAGCCTCCCCTCAACCCTCTGCTTGCCAGCTTTTTCAGCAAGACCATTGGCAACCTCATCGCGAGAAAAACTGAGCAGGTAAGTCAGCTAAGACTGCATGGTGATGGCAGGCTGTCCCCACTAGTGCTGACATGTCTAGTTGTTGCCTGTGCCTGCTGCATGTTGGACACCAGTGTGGTATGACATGTGGCTTAGAATTTAAAGAAAGGGTTTTTCCAAGGGATGTTTCTATTGGCCAGCACTGGCCTGACGCCCACTTCCTACCGCCCCTGGGAGCTGTATGGCCTTACAAAGCTCAGAACTAAGCCACTGGTGGTGTCCTTGACCAGAGACAGGCTCGGGAGTGCTCCTTTGTCACTCCGGCCCTTAGGATATGCCCTGGTGTCCTCGACCAGCAACAGACCTTGCTCTTAGGATTTCCACTGGTGTGGTCCTCAACCAACAGTGAACATTAAACCAAACCAAACTAACTGCCATGGAGTCAGATCTGACTCACAGTGACTCTCCTTGGGTTTCTGAGGCAGTATCTCTACAGAAGTAGATTGCCCAATCTTCCATCCAAGGAGTGGCTGGTGAGTTTGAACCACAAGCCTTTTGGTTAGCAGTCACCAGTCTTTTTTATCTTAGCACCTGGTGAGGCTGTGTATCTGTGCGAATAGCATGGCAGCATCTGACCTCCTCCAGCTTCATAAGGTGGAGAGGAGAATAAGATCAAGGCAGCAACCCAAGGCTGATTCCTGTGAGGAATCAATAAGATCAAGGCAGCAACCCAAGGCTGATTCCTGTGAGGCGGTTAGACATGCCTCCATCTTCCAGCCCTTTTACCAGTTCTTACAACAACCATCCTTCCATGGCACTCTCTTCTTGTCTGCTGGGTTTGATAATCCATTGCAGTGGACACACAGAACTTACAGACCATACTCACAATTAATGGGGTTTATTAGAGAAGTAACAGGTCACAGTTCAGGATCAGGAATGCTCAGGAGACCATTCTTTGATCAGAACAACCTTGCCTCAGCTGTGCCCGCAGGCAGCTCTCTGTCTGGCCTTCAGCCTCTAGACCTGGCTTCTTCCCTGCTCAGGCAAGTGTTATAAAGCTCTTGTGGTGCCAGTAAATGTCTAGAGGCACCCTACTCCATCAGCAAGCCTTCTGCACGAAGGCACTCAGCTACCTCTCTCTGTTGGCTAGGAAGCCTACTACTGTCTCATGCCAGTCTCCTAGTTCTGCTGCCACCATTCCTCTACCACTACTTGCTGTCTTGGGTGCCACAGACCTCTCTTGGGTTGATGAGGTTCAGTGCAGGGATCTTGGGTTCCAAGGATTAGCTCCCCTCTGGCTCTTCTTCCTTGATGGTAGTGAGAGCCCTCCTTTCTGCCTCTGAGATGGCTCATTTTAAGCCTATCGGGATGGCAAAACTGACCAATCTCCTCGTTAGGGTTTCACATACCTTACTCAGACGGTCCCATCCCTAAAAGGGTACCATGCACTGTGTTTACGTTATGAGCAAGCTAGTCCCCTTGGTGGACCACAAACACTCATGTTGTGTAGTCCCACCAGCTACCTGCTGGGAGTCGCGGAGCACAGCTAGAGGGGCCACGTTAAGAATTTGCAGCCACACTGCAGTGTTCTTGTGGCTTTAGTTTGCATCTCCCTGGTGACCGAGGAGGTTAAGTACCATCCATGTATTTGCTGGCCATTTGGGTATTGCAAAAACAGCAAGGAGGCCACATGTTCTGACCTCTTCTAACCCCACAATAGGAAGACAGGATTACCAGCAGTAACCCAAGGCCTATTCTGCCAGGCCAGACATGCTGCCTCCCTCCAGCCCTTTCTCCAACCGTTCCTCCCAAAGCACCCACCACCTCTCTCCTGGGCTCGATAATTCACTGCAGTGGCCACGCTGCTCACAGATTATGGGGTTTATTAGGGAAGCACCATAGGCTACAATTCAAGTTCTGGAAAAAAATGTTC